TAGTGCAGCTGCACGCAACTGCTAACCCTTTTTTGAGAATACCCTGTACTTATTGCCAGTCCATGAATTGAATTGACGCAGGATTATGTGACAAGTTGATGAGGGGTAGATGATGACCCCACAACTGGTCTCCAGTAGATATACGCATGCATTTCTGTTCTGTGCCTATGTCTGTTGCTTTCATCCATCTGTATTCATTGAACAGCTCTCTATTTTTCTGCCTAGCCGTAGGTAGATCTGTATCGATCTCTCTTTGTCGGTTTACTTATTTCTCCGTTTCTGTCCATTTGTCCCTCAGGCTTTCAGTCTGTCAGCTTTTCTGTCAGTGTCTCTCTCTCTCTCTCTCTCTCTCTCTCTCTCTCTCTCTCTCTCTCTCGGCTTGTAAATTTGTATATATATTTTTTTCTCTCATATCTCTCTTACACATATAAACAAACACAGTGCCTCTTTCTTTCTGTCTCTCCTTCTCACTCACACTCTCTCTCTCTCTCTGTCTCCACTTGAAAATTTGTCTATCTCTGTCTTTCTCTCATCGCTCTCTCACACATACACACACACAGACACACTCTCTCTATTTCTCTATCTCTATCTCTGTCTATCTCTGTCTTTCTATCCTTCTCTCTCTCTCTCTCTCTGTCTCTCTCTCAGAGCATATAGTCAGAGAGTTCATCTAGTAATAATATGTGCATAGGTAAGTCAGATAGAGGGAGAAAGAAGAAGAGTTATATACAAGTCCAGGCATTGACAGACGCCGCTCTCTCTCTACATACAGGTCAACCGACAGTCGGGCATACCCGTTTAGCGTACTCTTACTTCAATTTTTCTGGCTTTCTTTCTCGTATTCATTTGTTGTTGCTGTTGCTGTTGCTGTTGCTGCTGTTGTTGACTAGGCAGGCATTGTTTATGGTCAGCTAACGGTATCTATGACTGTGGCAACATCCGTCGCACATTTCGGGGCCTGCTCCAGCTGCGCGGCCCATTCAAACGGAAATGAGAACTCAACGCAGCGGAAATTTAATAACGACCAGCAATTTAGCGACAAGTGAACGTTGCGACCATTGGTCGAACGACATATTTATGCGGCCATTTTGACTGACCGCAGTAACCAGAGTCAGAGTCAGAGTCAGACCCAGCCAGCCACGCCCCCTATCAATTGTTGTGCAACTGTACCAGTGTGTGGGTGTGGGTGTGTGTGTTCATTGACAAATGACCATTTCATATGTGAAATGGCAATTCAATTGATTTTCAGCGTGCGCGTGTGTGTGTGTGTGTGTGTGTGTGTGTGTGTGTGTGTGTGTGTGGTTTGCAATTGAAATGAAAATAGTTCAAATATGTTTGCTCAGGCTGCGCGCCACACACATAGCAATAATGAGAAGTATTTCATAAAGACCGTCCCACACTCACACATATGCACACACACACATGCACACACATAAATTGTATCCTTCTGAAAAGGACAACAACAAAATACTGACAACAAATTGTCAATAACAATGGCAAAATGTTAAACGCCAGCCAGCCGCCCAACTGCAGCTGAAATTTATGGCTCGAACAGATCAAGCACTCATATGTCATGGTCATAATAATAAATTTTATTATTTAATTTGAAATCGCGCGAAATTGCCGAGTGCTCGGGCACTGCATAGTGCGAGCATCGACGGCAATTAAGCAACATTTAATTATATCTAAATTATGTATTTATCTAGATAGATAACTGGCGACATATTAGATAGTTGGCTAAATGGGTCTATTGTTCGAACAAATTGAGCTAAGCGCGAAAATGTGGGGAAATCAAAACACTCATTTGCTTATATTTTAAAGTATATGGTAAATCGCATGTCAAATTTGACAAGCACTTTTATTTAAATGGATATATGAATATTTTATATCGGTTTATAGCCAACATAAATAAGCCTAGTGCTTGATAAATATTAATTGAGGTCTAGCTAACAAGTAAAAGCTTGTAATTTCTCACATTTTACAAGTTCATTGATAGAAAGATAGACAGGTGGATAAACAAACAGAAGGAAGGATTAACAGACAGAATTATAGACAGATAGAATGAAGAATGGATAGGTAGATTGACAATGGATGGAATGAATAGACAGATAGAAAGACACATGGAACGCCAGGTAGCTCTAAGACCAAATAGAAGGATGGAAAGACAAATGGATAAAAAAGTAGACCCATGGACAGACAGAGCAGTGGAAAGACGCACAAAACTAAATGGACCTCCTCAAACTTTCTGATACTGATTTATACTTAGAAAGGTGTGCCATGCCTTATCTTGTCTGCGTCTAATATCTATTTACATAATTTACACACATGACCACAATCGAATTCCCATCCTCAAAGAACTCTATAACAAGAACTCTATAGAACTCTATAACAAAAATATTTTATACGTTTTTCTAAACCGAAAGCGCAAAGAAAAATTTTTAATTACAATGACTAATTGAATATAATGCAGTTAATTGAGAAACTTGTTTAATGTTTCAGCGCATGTCTAAAAGGCACTCAAAAGTGTTGAGCCTCAATTTGAATGGGCTTGATTAGGTCAGTTAATCAGCTGCTCGACTTGGGAGCTCATCAAATTGGAATGCCTTTGTGCGGGCATTAGGCGCACGTCTCTCATAATCGGCTCACATAATTATAATTTTGCACACACACAATGGAGCTGGGAGAAAACAATTTTCTATGAAATTAATTTTCTCAAATCAGCAGCGAATAAAAAGTCACTCACTTGTCTATTGTTTGGCTTTGCGACGTCCAAAGCACACACACACATGGCAAGACGAACGAGGCCTGAAGTCGACCCCGACTCTATTTAGGGTCTGGGCCACATTATCTTACTCTTGACATTTCTTTTCAAAAAGCAGCCGCCTTACATAATTTTATTCCTAGCTGTGTGCTGTGTGAGGCAGAGGACTAAGTCTAAGCAGTCTAAGCAGCCTCAGAAGCCTCAGCAGCTGCGCCTGTCAAGATAACAAAAAGAGTTTTTCGCCTTGTGTGCTGGCTTTGCTGCTGCCATTGTGCATTTCACTTTGGTCAGATTTCACAACTAGATATATATCATTTTAGCATGTGCATTTTAATTTCTTCCAAAAATAAAATTATGCAAAAGTTATACAAAAAAAAAAATAGGAATTATTCAATTTGGTTTAATTGAAATTTGTTAAAGTAATTAAATTTGACACGAACTTTGACAGCCGAGAGCAACAACAACAACAGCAGCAGCAGGACTTGAAATTAATTTGCCAACGCTTAAGCCAACAAGTAAGACAGACTATAGTGATAGACTGACAGATATCCTAGAAACGGCTGCAGTGCTTGTATATTAATTATTTTATTTTACTATTTTATTTGAAATGCATTTAAATATATATTTTATAAAAAATAAATTGTTATACACAAAGAGTAAAAATTGAACAAATTTAAAATTAATTTCATACAAATTTATTCAAATCTATATTTCAAAAGATGTCACAAAAAAAATTCGCATACATCAAATCAGAATTTAACAGTTGGGAAATGAAGAACAAAATTTGAGAAAGCAAATTATTAATACGAATTTATTCAGTTGGAAATTCAATATGATGATTTTTAATATTTGGCAAATAGAGAAATATACATATTTAAGCTAAAATAAATAAAGTAAATAAAATTGTTGAAGTTTTTCGAGATATGTAAAACATGGACAAGCTGAGATTATTATAGGAAATATGAGATGATTAGCATAAACACCATATATAGATTACCTTATGATAGGTAATTATTTATTACTAATTACTACTAATTAATTATTACTAATTTGTTTACCATTCAGATTAACTATTAATCCCTAGCTAAACTTTCTGCTGAAGGCTGCAGTTTTAGTAATATAAAGAATCAGCGAATTCTCATTCCAGTTGTTTGCTTCAATTCGAGTAACCCATATGCAATCTGTACAGGGTATACAAAAAGTAATTATCCATTATTTACTTTATTTTACACAAGCCTCTCTGTATGTACGTTTGTATATATATGTGTGTGTATACATACATATATACGGACAGCCACATTGACAGGCATACACACATCCAACTATACGTAGATCTATCTGTCTGCATCTATTCATTCCGGCATCCAGTTGTATTCACACCAGAAATTAGCATAACAAAAGGCAGCTGCACAATTCAAACATGGCTAAGTCGATTCTTAATTTTCAATTAAAATCCAATTTGTGCACACAAAAACGCCAAACGACAAAGAGAAAAGGTTTTTCTTTAGCTTCTGCCTCAGCTTCTCAAATTTTCTTATTCGTTTTTTTTTTTTTTTTTTTTTTTTTTCTGCCAGCTCCCAAATGAAATTATTTTTTTTGCTCAAATCCCATGTCAATCCTTGAAACGGACATACATCATGTGCATGAATTGAATCAGCTACAAAATTACTTGAATTGAATGGAACGTTTTTTTGTTCCCAACTCGTGAAGCACATCAAAGCGAAATATGTGTTCAGGGATTAGGGAATAATTTGTTAGCTGAGAAATTTTTCCATTTGTTTTATTTTAATTAGTTCTGAGATATGCGATAAAATATTTTATAATAGGAGGAAACACAAATACTCAGATTATTAAATAGTTAAATTAAAATATTTTGTGTATTTTATAATAAGAAATAGGTATTGTAATATAGTATAATAAAATGTTAATCAGGTTTAATAGTTGAGATTTAAAATATTAATAAAATTCTTTCAAATACTAAACTTATATACATAACAAAAGGGAAAATATAATTTATCATATAATTTCATTTTAAATTTTCTACTCAACTGAAAATAGTTTAAAAATGTAGATAATAAAATTAAATAAATTGAATATTAACTATTTTTAAATATGAAACTAGTTGAATATTTTATGTTATTAGAAGTAATATAACAATAAAATAAAATAAACTAACCCCATATTTTTGGTAATAAATATATCAAATTTAATTTACATTTTTAAAATACACTGCAATAAAAATAATAGATAAAAAATTATAATTTTCAATATTGCCAAAAACGAGTTTCAGAAAATAGAAGGATAAAACTAAAAAATAAATTAAAATTTCTTGAGCATTCGCATATTCGATTTTTTTTTTTTTTAGAGATTTGCCAAATGAGAGTTCTTTTGAATTTGGATCTTTCGTTGATAGCGAAAAGTGTGCACGATTTTCAATTCTTTATACCGCTGCTCGTAGAACCCGCTGTGGTCCAGTTTCTTGGCCAAGGCACACGCCTGCGGCTCATTGGTATTGTAGAGGGCCAGCAGGAGGTTGGCCAGAGCCAATTGAAAGTCCTGCTCCAGATCGTGTATGGCATCGCAGGTTGTCTGGCAGCACCTGCGCAGCTCCTGCTGCCGCTGCGCCATCTCGTCGGCAGAGAAGCGCTGGCAGAGCGACAGAAACTTCTGCTGCACAACGTCCAGCTGGAAGATGGGCTCATACAGCTGCATCAGTAGCAGACGCAACCTGGCGTTATCTCGAGTTAGCCACAGTCCTTTCAGGATCTTCTCCATATACGAGCCCTGCAGCTGGAGCAGTTCGTCCAGAGTCTTCACCGTATTGCAGCCCAGGTAGAGCTCCTCGAAGGCGCTGTCCAGTATATTCTCAAGCATGTAGCTGCGCAACTGCAGCATAAAGTCCTGCAGCCGATCGATGAGCTGATCAAAGTGATCCCGCACCTGTCGCGCCTCCGGAAAGCGCTCCAGATTGACGCGCTCCGAGAAATGCGATTGCTGTCGTCGGATCCGCTCGTTGAGTACATAGTCCGAATAGTGCAGCTGCCAGAGGCAGACAAAGCACGATTCATAGTGAGCGAGCCGTTCGCCCAGCAGGGTCTTCCAGTGGCTCGGCTGCTGCCAGCGCAGCAGGAAGCAGCACCAGCAGCGGCTGCCCTGCTGCTCCCCCCTGGCCACATAGAGCGGCTTGTTGTGGGCGACCAGCAGCTGCTCCAGCCTGTTGTTGAGCTGTGTGGCACAATAGCATTCGGCCGGCTGCTCCAGCAACGGCTCCAGCAGCTCAATCATCTCGCGCACGAACTCCACATCGCTGAGCAGTAGATATTGATGTAGCCGACTCAATAGCTCCAGGGGATTGGGCCGCAACTGATGCAGCTGCTCGAACAGCTGCCGCGATGTGTCCAGCTGCAACGTGCCAATTAGCTCGACCAGCGGCTGCTCGTCCAGCTCCCGAAAGCTGCTGTGGCAGGCCGACGCCAGCTGCTGCTCCAGCTCCAACTCCTGCACCACCAGCTCCAGTTGCCGGGCCAAAAAGTGCCGGGAAAAGTGCTGATTACGGCCGGTTGCGAGCAGCTGCCGGGCCAGATGTGGATTGAGGAAGTGCGGCAATCGCTCCGGCCGCAGCTCAAACTGCTGCAGCCAATAGCTCTGGATCTGACTGCCAGCAGCGTGCTCCACAATGAAGAAGTCGCCCTCGAGCAGCTCGCCCTGCTGCAGCCAGCCGCGAATCCTTTTCAGCAGCGGCTCGGCGGCGCATTCCATCCACTGCTTGAGCAGTTCATCGTAGCCAGCGTTGCCCAGGCCCAATTGCAGCTGCAGATACTGCAGCGGGGACGGCTGGTGGCTCAGCTCGCCGCACAGCTGCAGCAGCCACTGGAAACGATGGACGTAGCTGCGCGACTGATGGTACACCTGAGTGAGGCTGGTCAGCTGCTCCTTGTGCCGCTTGTAGAATCGGGAGTACGCCTGCAGCTCGGCCATCAGACAAGGAGCCAGCGCCCGTCCATATTCGCCCAGTCGCTGCAGCAGAACCTCCTGCTGCTGCTGCAGGCACTTGTAGTAGTAGCCCACCTCGGCCAGGGCGAGCAGCACATAGGACTCGCTGATGCTGCTCTGGTGATGCGGCGAGCGCAGCATGAGCCGTCGACTCAGCGCCGAGACGCGCATCTGCTGGCACTCGTAGCCGAGCAGCGCGTGCAGGGCATCGCCCAGTCGCTCCTCGGGCGACAGCCGGACGGCTATGCCGCGATCGCGCTGCTGCCAGCGCAGGGTCTCGAATTGCTCCAGCTCGTCAGAGGTGAGCAGCTGCTGCAGCTGGCACTTGCCAATCGCCTCCAAGCACTCGTCCGGCTGGTAGGCGTATTGCTTTCGCATGCACCGCAGGTAGGCCTTGAGCCGGCGCTTGATTGCAGCGACATCTATGATCGGACCGGGGCAACTCGTCTGTGTGGCCACGATCTCGACGAACTGCTTCCACTGCTCGTAGAAATTGGGCCCGTCGGGCTGCAGGGGCGAGCATTGATACGAGGGATTGCACTTGAATTGCTTGATGATGAAGGGAGAGGCGGCTATGACATGGCGCTGGTGCTGCCGCTTGGCTGGTAAAGCTATCGCTGCCGGCGTTATCGATTGATCGAATGGCAAGCCTCCCTCATTTATGTTCATCCCTGTTAGCCTATCAGCATCTTGATTGATCGCATTTGCAGAAACTTTGCACATTATCATATCTTTTTTCGATATCGATTGATTATCAAGTTTCAACTCTTGTTGGCTTAAGGACTGCTCGATCTCTGTCGAGATTTTCACAGCTGCTTCTTTAATCTCTAGTTGATTTTCCAAGCGAGCCTGATCTTTGATCGGTCCATCGGCGGCCAATTGCGCCTGATTGGTTGGCTGTAACATTTTTATAAAATTCCTAATTTTCGTTATTATTACACTGTGTGTGTCAGTCAATGGCTCCGATTCCTGCGACCAATCTAACGATGGGTAATCGGGCTTTAAGGGCATTTTGACTTCCGGCGCAGGAACCTCGGATTCTGCTTCAGCTTCCACTTGCGTCAGCCACCTAGGTGTCTTAGATAAAGAGTAATCGGCAAAGACGGAGGTGGCCTCTCTTATCTGTCTATGAGGCACCAAATTGTGTTGATCTCGTCGAACCGGTTCAACATCTTGAATGATTTCTCTTTCATTGGCATGCAGAGGTTTGAGGATATGCTGCTGGTCTATCGATTGATTGATTTCTCGTAAGCCTTGCTTACATTTCTTTTCTTCAGCACCCAGATTATTTTGGCAAACGACTGGAGCGGACAGAAAATTTTCGGAAGACATCGATCGACCTTCTGTTCTGACCGATTCCAGCTGATCTATCGGCAGAGACGTCTTGGATGCACCTTCAAGTTTTAGAAACATTTCCTCTTCAGAATCTTTAAAGTCATCTAGTTGTGAAATCGTAGGGCTATCAGGTAAACAATCTTGATGATTTATCGACAAATCGATCTCAAGCAAACTTGTCCCAGATTCTTCTTTAGTTTGCAATTGACAAATCACTGGGGCAGCCGGAGAGTCCTCGGTAAATACCGATGGAGTTTCAGTTGGTATTTCTGCAATCTGTGGAAACTGATCCATGAGCTGCTGTAGCTGCGTACGACTATCTGCATTTTTAATTGTTTCGTCTAGAAGAGATGACTCTGGTATCGACTCTGGTGATGTTTCAATTGATTTCTCAGTTTCCTGTTGATATTTCCATTGGTTGCAATCGATATTTTTCGATCTGTCTTTTTTTATCAATTGATTCGGCACCATTTTTAGCTGAGCCAACTGACTATGAATCTTAGCAAGCATTTCAGTGGTTAGCACTAGCATGCCTAAAGTATCGGTAAGAGGTGCCAATTTTTGTTCACAGTTCGATTCGTTCTCCGCTTTTAAATCATTCCCATTGCCCAATACTGAGGGATCCGTTTCTTCACAAACATCCTCGGACTCTATCACAAACGGAGACTGTTTGGGCGTTAGTATCATTGCTTGATCTACCGACTGAAGCTCCCCAATCACTACTTTTGAGGAATCCATTGAAGATGATTCTTCGTCAGTCGCCGAATGACTTCCCTGTTCAAGCTCTCCACTCGCTTCCTTTGAGTATTCGGTTGCACACGTTGTTTCTTGATCGGCTATCGATTGATTATCGTTCAAGAGCTTAGCTGACATAGATTTATTGAGCTCTGGTGACTTATCGATACATATTTCTTTAGAATTACGTTTATCATTTACAAGTGACTGATCGATTTCTGAGAAAACTATCGACTTATCGATATTTGGCAGTTGTTTGTATTGCCAACTGCTGTCTTTAGATATTTGCTTCAAGTAGAAACCACTTTTGGAATTAGGAGGAGGGGTTATTTCATGCAAGCTTAATTGTTCTTCTCTCGGTCCTTCGGGTCTTACTTCTTGCTTTTGTTGTGAGTCCGACGTATCTATTGGCGGCGTATTAGTATCTTGTGTGGCATCTTCTATTGTTTCCCTAGTAGACAGTATGCGAATCGGTGACTCTCCACTGTAGGTGGGCTCTGAAGTAATGAAACCGCTCTGTATTATCGTCATGCTCGGCGCAAGCTCTTGCTGTATGATTGGCTGATTGATTCTTGGCAACAATTCCTCGGATGCCGTGTAGATCCAATCTTTGAATTCCTCGCTTGTGGATGCTAAATTATCTTGGGGCAGTGTCGATATTGAATTTATCGATTTGTGCATCACTGTCGAACTATCGTTGGTCGCTTGCTCCTCCTCTATTCTGGTGTAAACGATATCTGGTAGCAGCTCTTCAGATGTTGTCAATATGAAATTCAATCGCATTTCATTCAGTGACGATGGGCACAGCGTGGAATCGAGCAGAGTGCTTAAGTCATCTGTCTCTGTCGATCCTTGTTGCTTAATCAATCCATTGATCTTGCCTTCACTTGCAGTCGTACTTGCTCCCTTATCCGTAGTTGTCGTATCCATCGATAGCCCCGTAAGCAAATCATCGGTAGTTGTGGAAATATCTGCACTCGGTTCGGTTCGATACGTTTGTACGCCCTGATCCAGCTGCGTGGTCGAAGTGTCCGTTTGCTGAGACTTGTTCGAATGCAGATATACACATAGATCTATGCCCAGCTCGGATGTTTCCCTGATACTCTGAGAATTCGCATATAGCTCAACAGTTTCCAGGGGCTCCGCAAACTGACTGCTCACATCTGAGGTCTCGCAGACGCTCTTGCTGTTCTTATATAGCTCCACAGCTGGAACAGCGCCCATAAACTGAGTGCCCACCTCACAGGTCTCTCGGAGAAAGCTCAAAGGATTTCTATTCTTTTCAGCTGTAAATTGCATTATTATATGTAATTACTCTACATTTTTATAGTTTTCGGTAGATTTCTTGGTCTCGTTTGCCTTACCAGTTTTTGGTTGCCGTACATGAGCATATGCTCTCATCTGGCTCTCGATATCTTCGCAGAGCATCACATCGGAGCTCATCGGAAAAGGTTGCTGTGGACTCTTCGAGTGCGCCATATAAATGATCTTTAAGCCTTTATCTCTGATCAGCTTCTGTTCATTGGTAGCATTTCGATTCATTCCAATATAGTTTACCTCACAGACTGCTCGCTCCCAGCGCAAACCCTTGAACTGACAACGGACTATGACAGGCTTACACATAACATAGAGAAAACCCATTTCAAGAACTACACCAGTTCGCCCTTTTGACGAACTGATCTCCAATTCCTTCTCGTTCAAGTGCAGCACGCTTTGGGCCAAGCAAATGAGGTTCTCGGTAAAGTCTTCCTGATACCTCAGCTTGCCCTCTAACTGCATTTTCTGTGGGTTTTCCTCATCGAACAGATGGTAGCAAAATGCGAGGTATTGTTGGCGTTTTGTTTCGCTTGGCTCAAGTCGTAAAAGTAGCCGATACAGATGCAAAAAGAGCTTATAACGGTGCTCTTGAAGACACTGCTCCTGCAAATCTGTCGTTGACTGCAATTGTTTGAAGCGTTGCCGAAAATCATTCAGTTTAATTTTCATCTGAGTTTCCGGTTTGACGAACGCTCTGCCATACTCCACCTTGGCTCGCTTGCAGCCGAGAGCGACGCCCAGCTTCCAGAGGAGCATGGGTATACTGCTAGCCAAGTCCTTGGGCGAGAGGCCCAGAGGAGATTTGCGAGGGTGCTTTGACTTCTGTTGCTTTTTGTCATCAGCCATGAGTTAATCGAATGCTCAAAACATATGAGAGAAAAAAACCGAAGATCGAAAAGAACTGCAATAGGACGTCGATATAATGGAATATATATATATATATGTATATAAAAAATATATAAGATATACAAAAAGTAGATCAATTTGATATGAGTGCTAGTCTTAAGGTACTGTTATTTGAAAGCCATGTCTAAGCTAAAGCAAATTGAATTATTATATATAAACTATGTAGAGTCTATATCCCTTCAACCTCTATATGAACACTTTTTACTTGATATGCCCACAAATCCCGTAACACACCTCGTTTACGCTGCTTACTTACACTAAAAAAACCGTTAGCAACTTTTAAACTATTAACAAAATATAAAACATTTACTTCAGAATTTGTATAAATATTTTTTATAAAAATTTTTATATATTTATAAATATAAATTTATATATATATATATATACATTTATTTTGTTGTGATGTGATAACTAACCCAGAGATCTGTCAGTCCAGAAAACAAATTCAAATAAATCTGAGCTTAGGTGTCGCTGTTCAGAATTCTCTACCTTAATATCGCTGCGCCGCGTAATTAACTCATAAATCTGTCAAAAGATTGTCGACAGGTTAAAAACTCGAGTGTTGAGCAGAGAATTGCGTTTGCAGTCGCAACCTTTTTGCAAGTTTTCATTCATTTCAACGAGTTAGTTCTCAATGCTTGAGTACGGGTAGTGCGGGGGTAGTTTGCGTGGGGCGGGTGTAGGGGTAGCGCAGGCTCTTGCTGGAAATGTATGATGCCACTTTTAACCTGAGACCGTAAAAAGTTTTGCCAGCGCAAGAGGAAACTATGCAAAGATAAGTGAAAAAGATTATAAATGCATTGTAGTAAAATTTACCGCCAACATCAGCGACAAAAGACTCAGGCGTAAAAACAAATAAGGGGAGGAAGTGCACGACTGGGGATACCCTGTGCACCATTGCAAATATCAACAAAATTATTTTGTCGCTCTAACTCTTCCTAACAAATATAAATATATTTTGTATCGATATTAATCGATTGAAGAAATCAAAAATGGTATCAAAATATGCAGCTCTAATGAATATCACTGTAGCTGATCCAATCGCATCATCACAAGCACAGGGTATACACAAAAACGGAAACCGACTGACTGAAGTGGCACACAATTTACGTGCAGGCAAGTCAAACGCAACGGAAACGGAAGAGGAAACAGCCATTTAAAAAACTGTCACCAGACAGAAACAAGCGATAGAACGATAGAGGCTGGTGCACAAAAAGCATGGGCATAGAGAGCAAGGAGCAACGAGCATGAGGCATGCCACACAGAAGCAGTGTTGGTTAAATTGTCAAAGTAGTTGTATTTTGGCAAGATGCCTGCCAGCAACAGTGTAGGGCTTGGTCTTGGAATTGCATGGGGTGGCAGATCTTTAGGGTTCTGTTACTTGAGGCGGAGTCCTAATTGTATCTGTATCTGTATCTGTATCTGTATCTGTATCTGTATCTGTATCTGTATCTGTATCTGTATCTGTATCTGTATCTGTATCTGTATCTGTATCTGTATCTGTATCTGTATCTGTATCTGTATCTGTATCTGTATCTGTATCTGTATCTGTATCTGTATCTGTATCTGTATCTGTATCTGTATCTGTATCTGTATCTGTATCTGTATCTGTATCTGTATCTGTATCTGTATCTGTATCTGTATCTGTATCTGTATCTGTATCTGTATCTGTATCTGTATCTGTATCTGTATCTGTATCTGTATCTGTATCTGTATCTGTATCTGTATCTGTATCTGTATCTGTATCTGTATCTGTATCTGTATCTGTATCTGTATCTGTATCTGTATCTGTATCTGTATCTGTATCTGTATCTGTATCTGTATCTGTATCTGTATCTGTATCTGTATCTGTATCTGTATCTGTATCTGTATCTGTATCTGTATCTGTATCTGTATCTGTATCTGTATCTGTATCTGTATCTGTATCTGTATCTGTATCTGTATCTGTATCTGTATCTGTATCTGTATCTGTATCTGTATCTGTATCTGTATCTGTATCTGTATCTGTATCTGTATCTGTATCTGTATCTGTATCTGTATCTGTATCTGTATCTGTATCTGTATCTGTATCTGTATCTGTATCTGTATCTGTATCTGTATCTGTATCTGTATCTGTATCTGTATCTGTATCTGTATCTGTATCTGTATCTGTATCTGTATCTGTATCTGTATCTGTATCTGTATCTGTATCTGTATCTGTATCTGTATCTGTATCTGTATCTGTATCTGTATCTGTATCTGTATCTGTATCTGTATCTGTATCTGTATCTGTATCTGTATCTGTATCTGTATCTGTATCTGTATCTGTATCTGTATCTGTATCTGTATCTGTATCTGTATCTGTATCTTTATTTTTAACTGTATCTTTATCCCTATCCATAGCCCTATTGTTAGCTACTCCCTAGTCCCTCCCACTTCGTTTTCCCTCATTTTTCACAACGATTCTGCTCATTAAAAAACTGGATGTGTGACATTTTGTCAGGCTAGGATAATAAAATTACATTCGCAGCGAAAGGCAAATGCGCTGAATCAGCGCAAGAAATTGTCAGAGGCGAAAATGTGGGCGGGGTTGCAGGAGGCTACTAGCGATGAGGGGGTAGCTCAGACAAATGTCAAATCAAATTTATTGACTTTCATTGTCATGTTGGGTAGCTAGACGGCAATAGAGGGGATGCAACAATGACACTAGGATATCAAAGGACTAACCCGCAGCTTAACGTTCATTCAAATGTGCAAAGCCAATGACAGCGTAAGAATCGTTCCAGCCTCTCCCCATCCACACTACTTCCCCGCTCCCCCTTTTTCCCTTCGACCAGGACACATAATGTGCACCTTTTTCACTTGGGTTTGCACGCGATTAAGAGAGGACAACAGCATAGACAATCAGCAGGCAGCAACTAAAGTTTTCCTCCCAGTTTTCCGCGCAGTTTTCTTGGCGCGTTTTTCCGATTTTCCACAACTTAGCACAATGCCTGTTGGCAGCGCTATAAAAATCATACGCTTCCCCCATTGTGGGCATACTTTGTTCTTTACTTTTTTCCCTATCTCGTTTTTTTTTTTTTCGTTTTTTCTCATTTTTTGGCTCTTCATGTTCCTTTGACAATTATTTGCATTGTTCAGTCGCTCGTTTGCTCAACATGAACACGAATCGGTAACTACAGATTGAGTGGCTATATATAGATATACGTGTGTGTACTCACATACATATATAGACATAGATTGAGCTACTCAAGTTGCTTCGCTTAGTTAGGCGCTTGCACAATGTTTTGCTTTGTCAATTGCAAATGCAAGTTTTTTTCTATAGATGTCACTTCGAAATTGCAAGCGAAGAAGGGTATTTTGAATTATGAAATCGTTTGTAACTACAGCTTAGAATTTGATGAGCATGGATATATTAAGTTGAAATCGATAAATATCGATGCAGTCAACTCGACAAGAATCATATTGAGGCTAATGAATTCTTTTAATTTTTCTTGGTAGTACTTACTCTCTAAATATACATAGGTAATACGAATGATATATAGATTTAGCTGTATAAATATCTTTCATAAATTAATATATATTTTGGTCTTACCGTTACGAAACGTTACTACTATTTCTTGCCTCCTTCTGGGCCAATCAGCAATAAAACCAGCATTCAAACAATCAGCCCAATTGTATATAGAATTCTCATCGAGATGCTTGGGCTGTTTATTAGCCATCCGAGTCAACGGAAAGTGCCCAATGCAAACATATTTGGAGCAACTGCTTCTCCACCTGCTAGCCACCAATTAGAAATTGACCTATGCACCACATATAATTAATGATTGCTTCTCGGGCTGCTCCACATCGATTCCTTTAGTCCGTCCGGTTGCTCGGGCCTGTGGCTTTGGCTCTAAGTTAGATTTGGTCTCTGGTTCAATTATAATGCAGAAAATTTATGCGTTGCAGCTAGTTGCACATAATTGCAGAGCTGCCGCTCTCGTACCGGGCTGCAGCATTGGTTACTCATACGCCGTGTGGAACGACAGGATTTCATTTATTAATATACTGGTTGAGCTGGGGATGGACGCGTGTTGGGCCTTGACGGAACACAATATACAATAATTATGCAATTCTGATATGTACAATAGGAAACTCAGCAAATAAACTTGAAATCATCGATAAGTGTATCGAATTGATTGCAAACTGTTTATGATAAATGTATGTATGTATATTCAAGTCTGTCTATTACGATTGATAGCCTGGCGAATAAGTAACAATTTATCAATTCAATGCTAGATCGAAACTATTTTTTTTAATCTCTTAATATTCTATCGATATTTATTTTTTCGATTCTGCTTTATCTTGTCATCTAAATTTGTTTTTAGCACCTCGATCAATTTATGCTTTAATTTAAAAATATTAAAAGATATTGAGAGTGGAATGAAAAGATTTTTAAATGTAATATTTTACTTGGAATTCGGAATTCTAAAAGACGTTGGAATTATTATTTATCAATAGATGATACATATCAATATTTTCTCCGAGCACGCTGTCATCTCTAATACACTTTTAACTGTTAGCTTACTTTAAGGCGCCTTCGATTACTTAGCCAAGTTTGCGGGCTGCAACTTTGCTTAGCTGGGAAAATGCTCCGCTTAAACCAATTAAAATCAAACAAGCCCGGATACGTCTACTTGTGGCAATTAGGCAGAGCCAGACACAGTCACAGACACAGACACGCATACATGTAACTAGACATAACTGCAAAAGGACACGGCAATTACGTGCAACATTTGAAGCGTTATTTTATTAGAGACAGCCGGCTGAAGTGGCAACTCGAATTGTAAATGTCATAAGCTGCTACTTAAACGGGTCTCCAGTCTCTCGTCTCCCAAGGCTTAATCCCTCTGGTCTCCACACACATTTCAAACGTTTTAGCTTACCAATTAAATGCATTTATATTAAATATATATATGTATATAGATAGAATGTATATTTGTCGGCCTGTGTGGACAAAATGCATCTTCATAATAAGTGCATTCCAGCTCGACTTGTAATTAAAGTCTTAAGCTTATTACATTAAAATGGCCAAAACAGAGCGCACAAGTTATTATACCCTTTAGTTGGCTATGATGTGTTAATTGATGGAGAAATATTAATTTTTCATTTATTTCATTGTATGTACATATGTGTAAATATGTATATAAGGTAGTGTGATTGTCAATTTATTTATTCTGAAGTAAATTTGAATTTTTTTATTATTTTTTTTATATTATTACTATTATTTATTTATAAAATATCTATTTTTGCATATGATGTTTATAATATTTATATAAATAATATATTTTTCTTTTATGTAATTTAATTATCTTATAAGTTTTTATAAATTTT